TGGGTGGGTGGAGGGGGAGAGAGGTAAATAGCCTTAAATCGGAAGGGAGCTGCTTCTCTGTGGTCTTCCACAAGAGCTGCCTGGGCTCTGCTGGCTCAGTAATAACTGAGTGACCTTTTCTTTTGCTGTATTATGTCTGGCTGGTAAGGGATTGCATTTTGCAGCTGATAAAGCCCTGACTTCATTCAACTCGGCTCCTCACACGCTGCTTTAGGTAAGTTGTCTTCAGCCAGGACGGAGACAGACAGCCTTGGACTGCAAGATACTAAAAGGAGGACACCTGTAGCTCGGATGCGGTCAACACAATTACTTGGCGGATCCTTGAGGACCTCATTATTTTAAACTTAAAGAATAGCGATCTCCCTCCCCATCTCTCCCACCCTCTCTTTATTTTTTTCCCCAAACAATGCTTCTTTTTGACCTTTTCCAAGGAGAAGAGCTACAAAGCAGCCACTGTGCTTATTGAACTGCCTCCCCTGTATCGCTTAATTGAGAAGGTAAGTGAGGCAAGTGTGTACATAAGCTTTGGGTCATTTGTGTATGTGTGCCTGCATCACTCTCTCTCYCTCTCTCTCTCTCCCTCTCTGAGTCATAAGCCGGGTCTGCAATACACACACACATCTCTGCACTGCAACTTTCACTCAAGCTGCAGCTCTGCTGAGACTGTTTTGTTTAAATCATGTGAGGCTTCATTATTTTTATGATGAGACATGAAATACATGCAAGCGGAGGATGCTGAGCAAAACCCATCCGATTGTACGTCTCGAGAAATAGCAGTCAAAGTTAACAATGAATTGCAGCCCCACCACTACCCCCCTCCCCGTTATTATTGTTATTATTATTCTTGCTTCTTCCAGACCTTCTCGAAACATGCTCTCAATTATCRAGGGAGTCGGTTAATTTCCCACTCCCGGCTTTAATCCACAAGCCTCYCCGTACAGCAGTTTAATTTGCAACTGGTTCGGTGCAGGGTTAACCCTTTGGGCAGAGCGGAGGCAGGAGCGGGGCGGGGAGCCCGGGGGCGGCAGGGACGCGCACCGGCTGCGGGGTCCGGGCTCACGCATCCTTCCCTCTCCCGGACCGGCGGCAGGGAAGGRCAGCCAGGCTGGCCTTGGGAAGCTGTACTTCTGTCTGCGAGCATTTCTCTTTTTCCTCTCTTTTTTTTTTTTTTTTCCTTCTCCCCCCGCTTCTCCCTTCATAGCGAGCGCGATACGGTATGCTAACGCCGCATGTGACAGTTTAATCAAACCCATTTGTTACAACAAAGCTAAGAGACCGCTGGGATTATGGGCTTACGGCAGAGTTAGGGGAGCATGTGGCTTTGTCGCTCGCCGTCGCCGTGCGGGGCCGGCGGCTCGGGCTGTGCCGTCCCCCCCGTCCCCATCCCCATCCCCATCCCCGCCGCCCCCCGCCCCCGCTGCGGCGCGCCGCGCTCCCGCTCACTTGACCCGAGCCGAGGAAGCACTTGCTACTTTTGCCGGGATTTGGTGCTTCAATGAGAAGGAGCTCTCCAGGCGCCCGTAAATCAACTCATGCAGAAAAAGGAGAAAAGTTTTGGTAAGGCGGCGGTGCCCGGCGCTGGCGCGCACGGGTGCGCTCCCGGGGGGAGGCGGGGGGGTTCTCCTTCCTCTTCATCCCCAGCGCTGCCGTGCCGAGCCGCCGTGTGCTCGGAGGAGACCCAAAATCCCGCTTCCTAGGACAGCTCTGTAGGACCGCTCTTTAAAGCGATTCGTTTTGCTCGGTGCAACAAACATCGCGACGTGCGGTCCCCGACACCTCCCTCTCCCCAGCCTTGTGATGCTCGGAAAGGAATTGGCATAAAAGGCTCGAGCGTCTAACTCCGAAAAGGCATTCTTTGTTGTGGAGTATATGTTTCTTATTTATTTTTTTTATTTTGCATGTGAGCTGCATCAAAATTGAACTCAGTCTTGCAAATCTCTTGTTGGCCTTTGCCAAGCACTAGCACTTTGCTGCCATGGTAACTGTAATTAAACTGATAAGAGTGGAAAAATGTCAGTATCTCTGAGCCTTGCAGCTGCATTGGAGAAAAAGGGAATCAAATTGGTTCCCAGCACCATTGCTCTAAAAAAGGAGGGGGAGAGTGGTGGTGGGGGGGGCTGGGGGAGAGAGATAGTGGGGGACACGCCAGGGGTAGGAACATAGCTAAGCAGCTCCGATCCCTGAGATCTGGGTACATCTATTTGCTGTGTTGTCCCTTAGGGGGCTACAGCCTGCAGGGATGCTCTGGGCCAGTGAACAGAGAGAAACAAGCTTTTAGGCCCAATCTAGCTTTCAAAAAGAGAAGGGGAAAGAAGAAGAGAAATCTTTTGTTTGGTGTCTCTTGGCAATCGACTAGCCATGTTGGCCAAATTCTTTTAATCTGTATCACTGCTCCCAGCTGTGGGACTGCATTCCCATTTTTTATTTTTTTGTCTAACCTCTTTTCTTTTTTTTTTATCCCCTCCTTCCCAACCCATATCCTTTATTTAGAAAGAGAGAAAAAAAAAATCAAAAATAATAAAAAAGCAGATTCCTCTGTAGAAGAAGGGGCAGGAGGTGAAGTTTAGTTATATACCATGGAAAATTAACTCAAAAGTATACAGAAGAGACTATATTCAGAGTGCTGAAATCCTTACTTTTATTTTTTAAAAAACCCCTGAGTGTTATGGAGTTGCGGTTACTTTGTTGTGTTAACTACAGAAGCTGAGACTGTGCGGATGAATGGCACAGAACAAGAGAGCATAATGGAGGCAATCAACCATTAGGCTGGTTCACAATGCAATCCAGGCAATTAAAAGCTCACCAGAGTTTAAATGAAATGGTTCCACTTATTTCTGTGCACCACACTGCACAGGCTATTATTTATGTCTCTTTTTTTAATTATGATTTCCCTTAAACTGTCAAATAACTCAGAATAGCAGGGTCTCGGAGGCAATAAGAATTTTCCACAGAACAATTTACATGCCAATCTAAAACTAGTTACGACTCCTGATGTGCTACATATGAGTTCTGAAATGTTTCTTAGCTTCTGAAACCTTTTCTGTTTTGTTGGTTTTTTTTAAGTCTGTGTGTGCGTTGCCCTGAATTACTGGAGCTCTGAATGCTTTTAGGATGAAGCTACAAAGTGGGAAAGCATCAGAAAAGTATTCTTTTATCTTYTCCTAGACCCCTAACTCTCTTGTGGACTGCATGTTGTCTGTCAGTTTGCTTTTAAAGACTGATGCACCCAATACTTTTATTTGCTCCTAACTGATTTTTTTTTCTAAGTAGAGGCAAGTTTTCCCTTTTGTGCTGTTTGTATGACTGTCCTTGGTAGAACTGTGTGCGTGCCTCTGAAAAGGGGGGGAGAGTGATCTTTAAAAGTTTGTAAGTGATGCAGTGCAGAATATCCAACTCTGCCTCCCCAGGACTGCCTGTACCACAAACAAGAACTCAGCTCTGAGTGTCTTATGCCATGCTCTGCACCATCAGGGACTAATCCCGCTTACAGATGCTTCTAAATCACTAGCACAATATAGTTCATTACATCAAATCTTCATTCCCTTTGATTTTTGAGAAGGGTGATGATTTGAGTGAGATGGATTTTTGCTTCTCTGCCTTCCCTGGGAGCCTAATTTAGCTTTTTTTTTTTTTTTCCAGCAAGCAACCTTTCCTCTTTATCACAAAATCATAGTTACAAATCAGTTGACAGTGTTTCATCACACGATAATAAACAGGGAGGGGAGTCAGTTGCATCGAACTTATTTGGGGAGATCGACAGAAACCTGAAAACCTGCAAGTCAGGTTATTAAGTTCTCCCTTCAAAAATCCTAAAGGTGGTGGATGGTGATGAAGAAGTCTTATTCCTGACACAGCTCTGCAGTTTATGTGCAGTATCYTGGGGACTGGAGGTGGAGGAAGGGAGGGAATCGAGGGAAGAATAGAGGAAGCCCTTGAAAGCATATTGGGGTGAAATAAAAAGGATTTGTTTGACAGTGACAGACTAGGCACTGGAATTTCTCAGTTCTGAGAACAGATCTGCTCTGTGATGCAGAGCATGGGTAGGACTCTGCAGAACTGAAGGGAAAGCTGGGTTTGATTTTTCTTTTTCTTTTAGAGCCTGGGTGTAGYACTTAGGGAATTGTATGATGTTTTGAAAGTGCTCCATAAGCTCTGCTTTCCTGGYGGAGGGGGAGAGGAAGGCAGCCAGGCAGCAGTGCTGTGCACTGCTACCTGATATTTCAGCAATGAGCAGTTTGGATGGGTTTGTGGGTGCTGTCAGCCTCTGAAAGGGCCCTTCCCATGTCCTAGGAAATAAATGAGTACTTAAACTGCAGGCTGTGAAAAGCTGGCTGACACTAAGCTGCAAGGTATTCTTATTGCCAAATTAAGGGAGAGCTAAAAATACACCAGCACGTATCTGAAAAGTGCAACTGCATTGGAGATCTTATGGGAATGTTAAAGGGAAGAGAGATGGTCTGTGAGGTGATCTGCATTAAAGTGGCTCACACAATACAGGAAAAAAAAAGTAAAATATTCTGTTGCCAAAATCAAGTGATTTAAACAGGACATGTGAGGAAAAGGACATTTTCAAATTTGGCGATATGTCAAACACTTCTTGACTTTGTTTAGAACCCTTCCACGCTTAAAAAAAAAAGCGCAAGTTTTTTGTTTACCATGAAGTGGTAGTTTGGGGGTTTTAAAATAATGAAATAGAACCAGCTTCTTTGAAAGTAAAGTGAGAAAAAGATCAGATCATTTCAAAAGGAAAAGCATTCCTTCCCTCCAAAAGATGCTGCCAGTGGGGTGTCAGCACCACCTTCTCTGTCTGCCTCAGGAAAACAGAACATGCAGAGTTGCAAATACTCCTTCTGTGCGGTGTCAGCCCCTGATCACTTGTCCCTACATGAAGGGTTTGGGCTAACCAGTGTGAACAACAGGGCTCTGCCTGCTTTCCTCGTGTAGCACATATCTCAAAAGCTGTGCAGGCTATGGGCAAGCTGCAGTTTTATTTGTAATACAATAACCTCATGTTTGCAGCATATACCTCGGGAATTATCAGCCTTGATTACTGCAATCTGCTCAGACATTCACTTGTTTGGCCGTGTTTCTGTGGCATCTTGTTCCCTTCAGACAGCTCAGGACAGTAGATCAGCCTGGATCAGAGACTGTCAGCCTCCACTCTCTAACCGGCTTCCTTATCAGGCGATGAAATTTTTACATTAAGATTTTTTTTTCGTTAAAGCCTAGCTCCTAGTTTATTCTGGTTTCCCTCGAGCTAAAGATTAAAGTCCTAGAACAGCCCTTCATGCTTCTAAACTTTTTTTCACTGAGTTRCAAGAAGTTTATACAAATTGTGGCTGATTTCATGCATTTGTCCTCTACATGGCCAAAGAGAGGGTCTGGGGATAGCCTGTTGTTGGCACCTAGTGGATATTTACACTCTACTGTGATAAGCAACATTACAGATTAAGGCTTTTTGACCAAGTGATGTTATTAGAGTTACAGCAGGACTTCCCTTCACAGTCTAGTATAGGTTTCTTACCAAAAATCTCTGATATTTTCACTGCTTTGAGTTGTTTATTTGTAGCCATATTACTTTGCTGTTCCATGGATGTACCCTGGATTCAGGGGAGTCAGCTGACAATTGAAAATACTGTAAAGGCTCAGCCTTTGTCTTGTGGTGCTTTCTCAAAAGGAAATGTGTGTTTTGCTCCCAGATCTGCCACAGACTGTGGAGCCCTGTGCAGGTCACTGGATCTCATCCTCCCCCTTGGGAATGAGAGACAGATCTTAGGAATCTCTGAGTGGTGAGGAGCTATGAGCCTCAACTGGGGAGTGATGGGAGAGCAGCAMGGACAATTTTCATACTGATTGTTAGAAAAATACGGATCTTACACCTTTGTCATGAGCTTTGGATGCCGTGCAGCCGCACTGCCATGGTATTCCGGAGTGTCTGCTGTCAGAACTCTCTGAAGGGCTCCTTCACCAGATAAATATATTACTCCAGGGTGTGTAATAGGAAAGAGGGGAGCAAGGCTGTTGTGCTCTTGTGCACAATAAGAATTCCTATTCCTAATTCAGCGATCAGCTTTGCAGGTGGAACGTAGGAGTTCAGCTTGGGAACACCAGAAAGTCACTTCAGAGGCTGTGCAGTCACTGCACTCCACATGGATTCCATGTGTTTTACGTGCGCCTCTGTGGAGATCCCTGGGATGCCTCAGCCTCTTGTCTTTGTAGCCGAAACATCCATAAAGATGCACTCAACCATTTCTTCCAAGGTTATGCTGGTTTTTTGTGCTTTTTTTTTTACAAGAGATCTCAAAAAAAAAATCAAACACAAACCAAACCAACCCCAGCTTGTCGGTGTTCTTGCTCCCTGAGTCTGCTTGTCTGTATTGGGGTGTTACAGCCCCAGCTGAGTTCTGCTGATAGAAGCTGGGACTGCAAAGCTTTCTTAACTTTAGGTGGTAAAGCATTCATGATGAGGAGCTCTTGAATTTGCTCTTCCCTGCTATGAGACTTTATTTAACCTTTCCCAGTCCCCGCATAATAAGAGGGGTTCATACCCCAAATGCTGGAGTAGGATTTGCATGTTGGCAACAGCATTYRTTCCYCAGTCCTGACAATTTCTCATTGCARTATCCAKGTGTGCTCTAATGAGTAGCATCTTTTTTAARTTACATCCCTGGCTTTAAAGCACCGAGATAACCTAACACGGAACAGCGTGTCAGTCCTTCCTGTCTCTCTTGTGCCTGTTTGATGTCCACTAAAATACTCACAGGGCTATCAWTTTGCTTATCCTAAGAAACACCTTTCAGAGAATTCATCTGAGTGCGCTGGGACGGCATTTCACGCCGCTAACCAGAGAGCCCAGTCTGTGAGCACTTTGGGGCAGTGACCTCTCCCCATTTACTGTAAAGCCGAGGGCAATTGATTTTTGAATGGATCCCTGGAAGCTGGCTGTGTTGCTCYGAGTAACATCGCTCAACAGTGTTCCACTTTTTGCCAGTTCTGTCCATTAAACAGTGTTTCAGGTGTTTGAATGGTTTTTTAAATGCTCTCAGCTATTACATCAAAAGGTGTATATATACTTAATGGACACTACTGTACTCCTTGTCCCGAAGTAGCTGTTGGCTAAAAATGGGATTGGAAAGTGGGGCAGCATTTCTACTTTTTTTTTTTTTCCTTGACAAACTAAAAACTCTCTGACCTTGTGCAGATTATTTTAAATCAGATTTTTCAGAAGGTCTTTACACYGCAGGTTGTGACTGACGTTGCTGGTACTGAAGTCTTTGGAAATCTCATCACTTCATTAATGTATCTAAAAACCCTAAAATATTTTAAAACAAAACATCCTCCTGCCAGCATCAAAATTTCTATGTCAAATCTCCCAAAAACTTTTGCCCTGTGCCTCTAAAAGCTTCAGTCTTTTCTTCTTTAGAATCTGGAGGGCTTTTGTATTTTATAAAGATAGTGCAAATAAGTCTAAATATGTGGATTTAACTGTGTTTGCCATATAGATATCCTGTTTATTTGAATTTTGGGTTGCTAAATATTGGAGATATGCTGTTTATTTAAATCTTGCATTGCTAAATATTGGATACTGTGGCTGAAATTGGATGACTTTTCAACTGAACTGTTATAATATTTAATGCTATTTTTTTTAATCTTATTTCTTTTCAGCAAAGAAACCAGGTAAATGAGGTGTTAAAGAGAAGCTGTGGAACTTAGAGCAGTAGAAGTTTCTGCTYTCAAATTTATCTTAGCCTTGTTTTCAGCCTGCTGTGGACTGACTAGGTTATTTTATACTATCTACACCATTGACTTTTAAATGAACTGGGTGTGGGGGGAGCAGMGAGATGGAGGGAGGAAAGAGCAAGAGTTTTTGTATTTCAGAGAATATCTATTTTCACTCTTCTCTTGTCTTATTGTGTTTCAGGTATACAAATGCTCTCAGTCCAGCCAGACACCAAGCCGAAAGGTTGTGCTGGCTGCAACCGTAAGATTAAAGACCGGTATCTTCTAAAGGCCCTGGACAAATATTGGCATGAGGACTGCCTGAAATGTGCCTGCTGTGACTGTCGCCTGGGGGAGGTGGGCTCCACCTTGTACACCAAAGCCAACCTWATCCTTTGTCGCAGAGACTATCTGAGGTAGGTCACGATCTCCTTCCATTCGCTGACAAATTTGGGAGATGTGTTCAGTCCTTCCTGCAGAGCTGCTCTCTCATAAGCAGGGCTGGAAGGCTGAGTACGTGTGGAGATGAGGAAACAAATATTGAAATATGGAGATTCAGTTAAAATCTGTATCAAAAAGTGCACACAAACAGRTCGTGGAGGTGGTTGCCAGGTTTCTGATGCTGATACTGGTGTAGAAGAGAGTAATTCCTCCCATGCTTCCCACAGTACGGTKCTCCTGGGGAGATGGGGGTCTCCTGCTCGCCCTCCTCCTCCTCCTCCTCCTGGCAGCACAGAGGTGGACAGGTAGAGGAGCCTGAAAATGTGTGATTTTCAGCCAGCTTTGGTGCAGGGTTTGGACCCTGCAAGTGAGGAATGTTTTGCTCATCTTCACTTTTGTCCTTAGTTTGCCAAAAGATTTCGTTTGTAGCATTCAAGCTTTTATGGATGTTAGAAGCTGGACCAGGATGACCAACTGACTCCTCCATTTTTAATAACCACGTGTCTGAGTTCCAATCCATTCCTGATTTCTCTTGCTGACCCGGGTGGGGTGCTGGCTAACCTGTTATTTTGCTATATTTTGCAATATTTTGCTACTTGTTAGAGGTAGCAAATTGGCACCTGCTTTTCTATCTTCTTRTTGGCTTGTGAACCTACATTCTCAACTGTATTTGAGGAAAAGCTTGTAGCAAAGTACTGGTGTTGAGCAGCACCAGGGTAGTTTATCTGCAGTTCATGTGCCAATAAGGTTACTTTGCAGGWTTAACTAGGAAGTTTGGTCTCCCTGGGCTCTCAACAGTAAATAGAGAGAAAAGKCTCCTCTGGGGTGATTCCAAGCACCTATTTCCCATGGTAACACCTTTCCTCCATTCCCTGTAGAGGGGGCCTAATGAGACTAGCTGCTCCAGGCTGAGGTGAACTTCTGGGAATATTTCCCTTGCCCCTTTAGTGAAGCCTTTTCCTTTTAAAGGGACATTGAAGTCACTAATACATTGGGGAAAAATTAAAATTCTTTTTGAATGCGTTGACTTCCAAGTTCAGCTTAAGTACAGGTAGCAAATAGGATCAGTTCCCAAGTTTTACAGCGTGGGTAGGTTGGAACAGGAATCAAGACAAGCACTATTGGTACTCTGGCTCTCCACATAGCCACCTCTAGAAAAAACAGTGGAACAAAAACCTTCACAAACGCACTGTGCATTTGGGGCTGAAAGGCAGATCAGGTTCTTCAGATGTGGGCTTAGACTGCCTAATGGTAAAAGTATTCTGCTACCTATTAAAGCTCTGAACTGAACCCAAGATAGAGTGCTGGGAATTTAGTATAGAGTCCACATCTTAAACGCATTGTGTTAAAGCTGCCAAAGTAGTAGGTAACAAAACCTCACTTTTAAAAACTGTTGGAACAGAAGGGAATTGTTGTACATGAACCTAGGTCACTTGTGGCCTTTAAGTGAGTGTATGTAGAGAGGAGCTGGAAGAGCTTTTGGTGGAAGGAAGTTATATCCCAATTTTTGAAACCCYTTTTAATAATCTTTATGCAACAAATGCCTGCAGGAGTGAGAGAACTGCTAAGGCTGTTTCATCTGAGTTCCAAATTTGCTGGAGACTTTGAGCTTACTGAGTCTCCCAAGTGCTGGTGCAGCAGATCTAATGTTTTGAAATCAAATGTTTWAAATCAAAACCAGAAATGATGTAGCAGTAAAGATATGAGCAAAGCATTTCCCCAGCATAGATGCATTCACACACGCTCTGGTCTTTGAAGGTTTAACAGCAGCAAATATTTTGCTAACAGATTGTTAAAACTCATACTAAGTGATTCAGAGAAAGGAGACTTTTTTTTTTTTTTCCTGTCTGTCATGATCACATTCAAAACTGGTATTTCAGTATTTCTTCATAYACAACACCTTTTACTTTTGCACATGAAACCAGCATACATGACAAATCCTATAATTGGTTTAAGATGTTTCTGATTTTTTGTCTCTGGATTTATTGAGTCTTAATGAAGCTATTTCATTAGAATTTGGTTGGTTTTTTTTGAGTGATGCTTGTGAGTGCATAGATTTAAACTTGGTATTTACACTAAACTTCAAACCATTGCAGTTAAGGTAATTGCAGATAGTCATTTGCCTCATTGCATCTTATCTACTTAGTTATGCAGTGAACCTATAAAAGTGATCTTTTAATGCTAATGTACAAAGTAGTTAAATTTTCTCTAGCTTTGTAGTCAAATAAGCTTTCATATTTAGCAACCCACTTGATATGAATTTAAGGAACAAATTGCATTGTACTAATGATCACATTAGAGTTTGATTATGGTTTCTAACTATCTTCTTAGCTTTTTTTCTTTTTAACCATAAAGGGAGTCTTTGCTGCGTATAAAACTGTTCTGGCTTCCTATTAATTTATGTGGTGCCCTCTAGAGGATATGTGGCTTGAACGATACTATAAAGAGTAAAATTGCTTATTAACTTGTCTCTCAGTGTTCATTACGCCTTTCAATAAGACAGGCATTCTACAGATGCTACAAGCAATAATGTAACCAGTTTGGGTGCTTCAGCATTCACGTTTAAGTTCAGAAACGGTGTGATTTTYTCTTTGCCTGTTCGCAAAAATACTCCCAGTATCTTTCAGAGACGCCTGCCAAAAGAACTGCAYCCTCCCTCGGCCCTGATGCACGCTCTCATGCTGCAGTCGAGCCCTGAGGTCCCCACTTTGAGCTTCTTATAAATACTCTGTATCTTCAGAACTTCAAAACTTGCTTTGCTTTAGCTGTCTCCTTTGGTGAAATTAGTTAATTATACTATATTAAAACCTTTTTCTCCGGATTGGGAGGGATTGAGGGAATGGAAGGAATCTTTAATGAGGTAATGAGCTTGAAACATGCTCTGGGTGTGAGAGGCTTCGCCCTAGAATGTGACTCGTGTAAGGCACTTCAGTGGTTTCCGAGGTGGCATCCGACWCCAGGGGTATCAGGGTGGCCGTGGCACCAACGAGCGCTGTTTGTTAACGAGGATGAGAACTGACTGGAGTAAAAAAAAGGGCTCAATGTTAGAAATAACCCAGTCCACGAAAATGATATGCAGAGTATAATTCCCCTGCAGGCTTCTGTCTTCTGCTTATACACTCCTGGGTTAGAAAGTGAAGACTTAATTTAAGGAACTTAGGTTTACGCCAATATTTCAAGTCCATTTATAGTAGGTGAAATGTGCGAGGACTTTTTTTTTCTCTCCTTTTCTCCCTCCAGAGCTGTACGGTGACATCTTAATGCATCAGCCTATCCTGCTCTGTCCCCTCTTCTGACTGGCAGCATGTCCATTTACAAGCACAATATTCCCTTTGAAATGTGTCATTACTGCCATTAATGACCAGTCTTTATGTTAACAGCCCTTGGGCTGTTAACATGTCAAACTGGTTGTTAACTGGAATGTTATTACTTATTTAAACCGCAGGTATGAGTTGTGTGAAATGTGCTTTGGTTGCAGTTGTGGGCTGATTCTGCTCAAAACAATAGGGAAACAGCAGAGCGTTTGCCTTTGGGGTGCCAAGGGATTTGCTTTCTGTTCCATCTGCTCATTTGATTTCTGCATATTTGCGAGGTCCTCCTACCCCTGGGCAGCCTCCTAATTTCAGGTGCAAGTGTGTGCAGTCCCTTCTCATAGCCTTGCCTGCAAATGGGCAGCCGTGGACGTTTCCAGATGCMCGGTAACGCCTGCTGCACGCTTGAGATTAATATCTGGCCCCTGGAAGTGTAAAATAAAAGACCGACAATTACATGTAACTCAGTTGTATTAAATAATGAGCTTCCTCGGATGCAGCAGAAATATGAAAGTACAGCTGTGCTAAGCTAGTTGCAATGTAGGTCAATCACCCTTTTCACTTAGGTTTTTAACTACGCAAACCCCGCTGAGCGACCAATGACTACAAAGTGCTGTTTCATTCCTATTTAATTTTGGCAGCATTTTACTGAAGAGCAGGCATTCATGCAGCTAAATTATCTTTGCCGTTTCTGGTTTTAACTCCAGCTCCATGACACTAAATGTTGGAGTGCATATCTCTTAGTAAACACAAAGAATATGGTTTCTGATTTTTTTTCTTTTTTCCAAATCCATCTCTTAACATGGAAATTGAATTAGAACTTTTATTACTTTTTGCATAATTTCCCTAGCCAGGCAAGCAAGATCATAAGAAAAGGATTAATAAAACCAATGTATTARGGTGGAATTTTTTCCCTTAAATGCATCTAGAACCTTACTGAGAATAGGGAGGATGATGAGAGAAAATCTACCCTCTCACTTCACTCTACCCCCTCCACTTTGATATTGATTTTGTTTGTAAATATATTGCAGACTTTAAAAGTACCACTGAACAGCTATGAAATTGARCAGATCACAATTCCTAAAGAAAGGGGCAGAACATGTTTTTCTCTTCCCTGCTTGCTGGTTGAAAGACCTGAGAAAAGCCAAGTCTCCAAAACTGGATATTGGAGAAGATCTTGTAAATAATGAGACTTGACTACAGAAAGTAGTGTTCATGAGCATTATGAAGATGCTGCCTCTGTAAAATATTTAGCTTCAGAGCAGACTGAAAAGAGTGGAATTCAGGAAACAGCTTTTTCCTGTACAATTGCTTGCACTCTAAAGGCAATTATTATTTAAAAAATTGTTGTGTAGGAGTACTTAGAGAGACTTAAAATGTCTGATGGCCTGGTGCCGATTAGCAGATCCCATTCCTCTCTCATGTCACGGGCAGTATTGCAAACACCTGAGATATCAGCTTGCCTAAATGCATGGATAAATACCCTGTGTGGATATTTTCATAGGTAGCAGATTATAAATTGTTTTCAAAATGCCTCCTCAACATGTTTCTTGCCCAGCTTGATTAAATAAGRGTAGACCTTTAAGGATTTAAGCACTCTGGGTTTTCAGGAATATTAAGGTATTTATGGAAGTGAGGCTTGAGAGCTCCACTTTCTTCACTAA